GCGCTGCCGTCCGCCCCGGCGGCGCGCGAGCTCGGTGTCGGCTCAAGGCTCCCGTCCCCTCTCTCCCTGGACTGAATAAGTTGTTATAATCTCTCTTTCCTTGGGCGCTGTCGCTGCGTTTTGGACCGAGATGGGTTCTAGCTGCCTCGGTTCGGTAGCTGATAACGAAGGGTCGCGTTTGCCTCCGGGTCCCGCTGCGCAACGCGGGTGAAGACGGTGAAGCTGCAGAGCCGTAGCTGAGGGTGCAGTCGCGCTCCCTCCGCCATGGGGAGCGAGGACAACCAGCCGCGTGAGCCCCGTCTCGGCTTTTATGCCACAGGTTAATCCTCCTGCGATGTCTGGTACACGCACAGCAGCTCCTGAAGAGTTGTACTGTCTCTGGGCATGCCGTAATAGCGCAAGCTTCGTAATCTCCTGCCTGCCGTTATTCTCCACGTTAAGGATTAGCTTTGCTTATGGTATGACCAAGCAATGCTGTGATAGGGATCCAAAGAGAGAACTGGCTGTCACTTCTCGTTTTTGGCATTGCTTAGCTGTGAACGGGGATGCTGGGCTGAAAAAGGAGGCCAGAGGTACTTCAGCAGTAGGTATACCAGGAGGCAGCATGTTTTAAATGGAGAAGGGGTGTTCCTTGTGCTGCTTTGGTTTCTGCGTTGTGGATTTCTTCTACTGGTTCTTTGCATCTGGTGAGTACTGTTAAGCTGACTGGCAATAGTCGTGGATTCACCATGGTATACCACTAATCTCTATGCTCTTTTCTAAAGCAGTCTTCCTGTAAGTAATCTGCACTTCAAAAGTGTGTGTGTGTGTGTGTGTGTCTTGTTTTGGGTTTTTTTTTTTTTGGTACAAAGAACCTACGTTAACTGATGTCGCAGTCTTTCTTTGAACAGAAGTTATGTTTGAAGGCTCTTTTAGAAGATCGTGCAAATCTAGCAGGTCGTGGTTCTCAGTTGTTGCAATTCCTATGATAAATAAAGCTAATGAGGTTTATTCCTGGCAGGCCTAATACTTTTTACCTGTTTCAGTAGCTGAGAGGTGTGTATGTGTGTGCGTGCCAAGTTGTACGAGAGCTCATATGACTTCTAATGTTCCTGAGTTAGCAGGCTGGATTATAGCTGCATTGTTAACTTGTTTTCATCGTTGCTTATTCCACTTCTTCGCTAGTGCACATGACAGCA